ACATGTAATAGAGGTATATAAATTTAGGAATGAAGGGTACCTTGTTTGTTGTTTTTCTCTCCAATGTTTTTAAACATTGTTTTATTGTTTTTCTCTTGCATGTTTGAAATAAAGAATTAACAAAAAAAAAAATAAAAAATCAGCAACGTATTTAAAAGAATCTCAATCTCTGTTATCAAAAAATACAATCTCTGCTTCTCCGTTGGATAATAGGGTTAGGGTGAATCCAGCATCATGTCTGTGTTTGTCATTTATTCCTTCTATGATGTGTAAATAAAGTAAAATAAAAATAAATAAATAAATAAATAAATAAATAAATAAATAAATAAATAAATAAAATAAAATCCAATCTATTTGGCTCCTTCAATTTCTTTATTTAAATATGTATGCGTTTTTGTTTTTTTTCCCAGAATGCAAAATGTAATGATCTTTTTGCACCAGTAGGTGTCCTCAGTTGTCCACCCAGTGAGCCACTCTTCCTCAGACTGATTAAAGTTCTCCTCAGATGACTGGAGGGGAGGATCTTAAAGCAGGGATTCAGACTCATTCACTAAAATAACAGATCAAGGGAAGGAAATCATGGATTTCGACTCTGCCGAATAACTGAAGGGCCTTTGTGACCTCTACCAAACCAGAGGCCTCAGATTGGCTCTCCTTCAGGAAGGAGGTCCCGGTTGACCACCTTTGAACAAACCTTTTGTCTCTGCTGGTTATCTCGACAGTCTGAGGATTAACTCAGACTTTCTCTTTAAACGTTTTTATGTGATGAGTGTCTGTCCAGTGATTTGCTCCTCAGGGATTCTAACCTTTAGCTGCTCAGCATGCAGCCCTGATCTATAGAGTTCTGATAAGGGCCTAATAGCCTTTAGGAATGATGCAACAGACACATCTGAATGTCAGAAGACACCAGCCTGGCAGAAAACTTTATGACCAACTGAAGATTTAAATTTCAAATCAGCAAAGTGGATTGATCCCACTGTGAATTTAGAAAAAGATAATTTTTATACTGGGCATTTATTCTGCTTTGGTTTTCTCCCTGCAGTTTTTAATTGTTGTTTAGATTTTTATTGGCTAAGGAGGCTCCTAGATGACCGCTGGACACAGGAATAGAGACAAAGGGACTGTAAGAAAAATAAAATCAGTTCAATATCAATTAAGTTTATTTATATAGCTCCAATTCACAACACGTCACCTTAAGGCACTTTACAGTTCAACAGATCATACAGTCAAATTGATTGAGTTTTTTATTTAAGGAAATCCAGCTGATTGCATCGACTCATTGACACAAATGCAATCCCTCACACTAAGCATGCTTGTTGGGACAGTGGAAAGGAAAAACTCAATTTTAACAGGAAGAAACCTCCAGCAGAACCAGGCTCAGTTTGAGCGGCCATCTGCCGAGGCCAACTGGGGTTCAAGGAAACAGAAGCAGAGATACAAAAAGCTGCTGTAAAAGGCGGCCCCATGAAGGAAACCAGTCAGCTCCCATGTCAGAGGATGAAGGGAGCACGTCCAGCCAGTCACAGTCAGAGAAACAGGACTACACTGGAAAACAGGTCGATCTCCAACATCTAAAATCAAAGGTGTTGATGGCAGCAGCACAGCTGATATTTCTCTCCAGGATGGAGTCACAGCCAAACAGGAACAGGCAAAGCTACTATCAGAAAAAGCAGAGAGCATAACATTAGAGATTAAACTTTATGAGATTATACAGAGTGGGAGAATAGAGATAGAATGAAGTAGAATAATGAAATAGGGGTCCCTATGTCCTCCAGAAGTCTAAGCCTATAGCAGCATAACTATAGAGATAGCTCAGGATAACCTGAGCCACTCTAACTATAAGCTTTATCAAAAAGGAAAGTTTTAAGCCTACCAATAAAAGTAGACAGGGTGTCTGCCTCATGGACTTAAACTGGTAGTTGGTTCCACAGGAGAGGAACCTGATAACTAAAAGATCTGCCTCCCATTCTATTTTTAGAAATTCTAGGAACCACGAGTAAACCTGCAGAGTGAGAGAGAGGCGCTCTGTTAGGAATATAAGGAACAATCAGATCTCTGATATAAGATGGAGCTTGGCCATTTAAGGCTTTATATGTGAGAAGGAGGATTTTAATCACTGTTGGAAGATCTCTCAAACCCCTTCAGGAAGCTGTTGTGGAGCTAAAACACTCTCAACTGTTTCATCCTAATTCCACAAAGGAGCATTGTTACAGATTCTTCTTTCCAGCAGCTGTTAGTCACACAATCGCAACAAATGTTTACAAACAGGGTTCTGCATATTCATATCAATACCCTTCATATTAATACCCTTTATATAATTTTGCTTAGTTTATTGATTTGTTTGACAGGATCAGTGTACATTAATAAACACTGCTGTCAGCATACTGGCTAATTTCCATCTGTTTTCTCTGGACAAAACTACACAAAAAGGCAGTAAAGTAACACAATGGCTGAACTAAAGGAACTAAAACAGAAATACAATGAACCTTAAATACAAAATGAAATTAACATAAAACAGTCAAAGGTAATTTTTTAAGATTCAAAATGGTTACTTCCCTAGTCTGCTAAACAGGGTGGGGTTACGTAATTGGTCATTGTAATTAGTAAATGCTTGTTTGTCCAAAAGCTTTAAAAAATGCTCCCACAGCCTTAATGTCATGGTCTTGTTTCTATTGTGCTTTACTTTGTTCTATGTTTCCTAGTTTTATTGGTTTAATTCCTTTTTTGTTGTAATTTCTAGATTTATGTTAGTTCTCATGTTTTTCTGTTGCCCTCTTGTGTGTGTGTGTTCGTTTCCCCTTAGCTCCCTTGTTGTCTCCTCTCACACCTGCTCCTTGTCAGCTCGTTAGCCCTCCCTTTATATGTCAGCTATTTATGCTCTCCCTCTGCTCTCACTCGTTGTTGTTGCCGTCCTCCCATGCTGTTGTCCACCTACCTCGTCTCTCCCTGGCTCATCGTGTTTGCTTTCCCCAGATGTCTCCTTAGTTCTGGTTTGCTTTTCATTATTGGTTGGATTTATTGATTCCTGCCTTTCTTTACTGTTTTTGCCCCATTAAAACTCCTAGAAATCTCCTCAGCCTCTGCATTTGGGTCCTCCAAACCAAACCCAACCTTGACACTGATCATTAACATATTAGATATAAAACATGTAAAAAATCCCCTTTACTAAATGGTGGCAGATTATGGTTTGTTATCTAGCTATCCTTGGCATAGAGAAGCCATGTTCTAAAGTTATAGATCTGGATCTATTTGTGAAACATTGTTGCCCAACACAACAGCTGCTGCCGTCAGCGGTCAACAAGTGATGGATGAAATTAGTCCTGTATGATAATATCTATAGTCTTTAAGTTGTCTATTGATGTTATTTATTTATTTTTGTTGGATATTTCTCAGTTACCCTATGACTTACTTAGACAAAACTTTGTCATTTTGTATATGCAGAGTGTACATAAAACAACAATTTCTTTATCCTTTAAATAAAGACTGTCTTTGTTTCTTAGAAAATACCATTAAGTTAAGTTCATACAATTTCTAATTGATTGCAAAGGGTAAACCAAATAAAATTGTATCATAAATAGTCAGTTGAAAAAAATATTTTATTGCCATTTATTACATAATTTAAAAAAAAAAAAAAGTAAGTTACTCTAATGAGGGGGTCCAGCCTTTCCAATCTGCCCAGATGTTTTACACCTCTTTTTCCCACTTCATGAAAAGTGTTCTATCTGCTATTGCTGCTTAAAAAAGGTTTTTCAAACTTGTTAAACGGATAACAGGAAAGAGCTGTGATGATCTGAGGGACTCTTTTGCAGCTCTAACTGAGAAGAATCTCTGAATAAAAGTACTTTTCTTGAGAAGAAAGATATTCTCCACAGATTTTCCGTAAAAATTCAAAAAATATCCACTTTTAAGGAATGACTATGACCTGGATGACTGAGAACCTTCATCAGCATATTCTCCACAGATTCCTCCTCTTCTTGATCAAAAAAGTATAAGAGTAGAATAGAGTAAAAAGTTATCTAATGTCCTACAATTGGAACATTTCTGTGCAACAGCATTTAATTGAGGAGATTAACATACAAATAAAATTTAAAAGTGTGCAAAAAAATAAAGCACAGCATATTAAGGGGAAAAATGCTAACTAGTCTGTTTAATCTGTCTAAAGTTTGTGGTGTCGCTGAACATTTTAGGTGCCTGAACCAAAACTGTGAATGTAAAGTTTTATTTGTGTTAGAGACGTTAATTACTATTCGTACATTTTCTTGCATTTATTGCATATTTTTTCCATTTTGTTTTAGCTAATTATCTCTCTAATTATCAATGGCATTTCCTTTTTTTCCTCTATCCAAAATGTTTTCTTTTTCTTAAATTCCCTTTTTCTTTTTGTTAGTCCTCTTGGCTTTTCTGTCCTCTGTCTTCTTGTTTTCAGCAATGGGACCCCTGAATGTCCCCACTGTGGGACAATGAAGACATTTAATCCTTCTTATCTGTATTTAATCTTTAATCTCTGTGTTGGGTCACTGCTCCATCATTGAGCTGCAGCTGGATGAAAGGATCCAGGGTCCTGAAGCCAAACCTGCTGTAGAACCACAGCCGGTTCTGGTCTCATCTGGCTGTTAACCTGGACCATGCATTTTTGTGGTGACCCTTGATTCTGTGGTTCTACCCAGAAATGTTCCTGCAGCTTTCTGACGTTCAGGTTTAGAACCTCTTAGATGATTCTGTCCAGAACTTCTCATCTGTTGCATACCTCCTGGATCTGCTCGGATCAATCAGAATCTGGACCTGTCTGATGTCCAGTTGCTCCTCAGGTCATCTTCAGCTCCTCTGGTTCCGCTGCTTCAGCACCAGGCCGAACCTTTCATTAGATTCCTGTAGGCTTCATCTGATCTACACGCGCGCGCGCGGGTGTGTTGGTGCGGGCGCGTGTTTGCAGATGGTCTCCAGGTTCGGAACGAGATATGAGTCACTGCGCGCGGCACGGAGCTGCTCTCTGATTGGCTGCCGGCTCTCTCCATTCAGCTGCTCCTCGCGCCGCGTCATCGCAGCATGTCCGCGTGAAGCCGCGGAGAGAGACTCGGTTCGGCTGTAGTGAAGCTGCTGGTGCTGATCCTGTTCGGGGTTGTGTGTTCCGGTCCGGAGGAACCGTTCTGGAATCTATTCTGCTGCGTCCATCAGGTGCAGGGAGCGCGCATCGGACCCGCCCAGCTGAGGTGAGACACCATGGCAGTAGAACTGGAACCGAACCTTGGGTTTAGGCTGATGTGAGTGTCTGTGGGTGTGCGCGCGCGTCAGTCCACATTCTGGATCAGAGATCAGAACCTCATAGACCTGCTTCTGATGGTGGAGGATTCTGCCTCCATCCTGGTTCTGTTGGTTCTTTCTGATCCGCTGCAGGACAGAAGTTAAAGTGTTCTGTGGACAGAATGACCCAACAGAACATCTTCAGACTGTTGTTGTCCTTTCAACCTGTTTAAATAGAGGGTACCAGCAGAACCTGTCAGAGTCACTTAGTGATGTCATGGTGTTGGAGAGAGAGAACCTTCTGCTCCCAAGGCTGGTTCCATTAAGACGGTACCACCAGAACAGGAGCAACATTCCTGAGAGGAACTGACCCATCAGAACCAGAATGTTCCTGCTGGTTCAGAGGGAACATCAGTCTGGGTGGGAACAGCTGATCTAGGTCGGGTCAGGGTTCACCCGGGACCTGGTTGGAGTTCTGTATGAGTGAGATTGGACCTGTCTTCCAGACAGACTGGGCGGTGGAACCAGGACGGCTGGGTCTTTCTGATCTAGTCAGAGACACCTTCACAGATTCCCTTATGCAGCGGATCTGATCCAACTGGAACACAACCAGAACCACAGTGGTTCAGCAGGAACAGGACTCTGTTTGGACCCTGACCGGATCTGGTTCTGAGGCTTAAATGATTTAACCTCAGCGCCTTCTTGTTTTTCAGCTCATCTTGTCTCACCTGGAGACTGCTGCCCTGTTCGTCTCCACGGCAACGGCCCTCAGGTGAGACCCACTGTGTGTGACGGAGCTGCCAGAACATCTTCAGTGTTATTCGTCAGAACCTGATGGTCAAAGCCCACATTAAGGGATGGATCGTCTCCATCTCCCTCAGCAGGTTTCCATGACAATGATGCACTGGTCTGCTGAGTCACATGACCAGAGTTTCATCCAAGGTTCACATGAGATTTTGATTCATTTATTTCAGCGTTTGCTCTGCTTTTGTTCAACTTCAATCTCATTTTCCACTTCGGTCCGTTTCTTATGTTGCTTGGTTCTAGTTTAATTTCTTCAGAGTGGCAGTTTTTTCTGCCCATCGACCTGGAAGGATCATAAAGTCGTCTCTTAGCGATCTGAGATCCATGATCCGGCAGATGGGTGAAATATTTCTATCAGACAGCTGCTAGTTGTTAAAGGAGCAGACGTCTCAGCATTTTCAGAGCAGAAAGCTCGAAAAAATCACAGATAACCCAACCTTCTCCTTAGACTCTACTAACCATTCTTATTTAGCTGGTTAAAGGTCAAAGGTCGTGACCCTGAACCAGTCTTGCTGATTGAAAGCGTGGATTGAGAAAGCCTTGTCTCTTAAAAAACAAAATGGCAGCAGGATTTCATGTTTGGAAGAAAGCAAATACGAGATAAACATAAACACCTGATACTATCAGCTGCACAGAGGAGGAGGTATGATGGTACGGGCCTCCTGCCAATCACAAAGTAGCTTTGTATCCCAAAGTTTTTTGGAGTCAAAAACGAGTCTAACTGTCATCATTATTTCATCATCGCAGAAGCAGAGTTTTTCTGATTTAAAATAATCTGGTTTGATTTTGTGGCGTTGACCCAGTGGAGCAGCTGAGACTTCTGGACCTGACTCCATGATGTCACCCCTAGTTCCAAACCTCAAGGCAGATTTTTTCTTGTGTGTGAACATCACAGCCAAAACATTATTTTGGTGGGGCCTTTGGGAGACATTTGGTTTGGACTGAGGGGTTCAGTGCAACAGTGCAAAACAGTTCCTTTAAAAAACAGCTTTAAAACAAATTGAAAAGGTTATAAACTCATATATTTGTCATGTTCCACATATCTGGGACCAGGCAGCGGTCTCAGCAGAGCCAGCCAGACTTCCCTCAAAGCTCCTCCAGCTCCTCTGGGGGAAGCCTGAGGTGATCCTTGGTCAGCAGAGTGAAATAATGTCCTGGGCCGTCCCCTGAACATCAGTCTGGCTGGACGTGCTTGGAAAACCCAGATGCCACCTGGATGCTCGGAGCGAGGCGTTCAGCAACAATCCAAAACTGATGGAATAGAAGCGCCTCTACTCTAAGCCTCTGCTGGATGGCCCCATCTCTAAGGGCCACCCTGCAGATTACAGTTTTCAGCTGCTTCTGTCTGGGAGGTTGTTCTTTTGGTCATGACCCACATTTTATGACAGGTATATCGAGAGCTTCATGTTTTGTCTCAGTTTTCTCTTCTACCACCGGTAGCTGCAACGATCCATCTCTCGATCACGTGTTCCATTCTCCCCTCCCTCCTGAACAACACCCTGAGATACTTGAACTGCAACAGCACATGCTACTGGCTAGATGGAGCCAACAGAAACACCTCCTCCACTAAAAGAAGAAATCTGATGGTCCTCAAACCATATCCCCTTCAGGATTTTGGTTATACCTAGAAATCTTGCCCATGGATGTTGTGGCGACTTCCATCCACCAATGGAGCCGCTGCTGGCTGACAAGTTTTTTTAACTGTGACACCTCTCCAATAAACCATCGTATGCCCAACTTGCGTTTTCTTTCTTAGAAATGACGTTCAACAGAAAAGTTTGCCAAAAGTTCTTCCCCCAACTGACTATCAAGTACACCCCTATCTCCTAAATAACAAGGGATCACACCCTCTAACCCAGGGGTCTTTAACATTTTCCTGGCTAAGGACCCCCAAACTGATGGCGAGATGGAGCAGGGACCCCCCAATTATATATATTGTATGACATTTGGTTATATCTTACTAGTCATATAATCACTCTATTACATATGGAGTAATGTAACAAAAGTAATTTCACCCTGGGATTAAAGTATTTCTGATTCTGTTTACTACAGTGTGTGGAGTTCTTGTTAATGTACATTTACATACATTACAATTAGTGGAAAGAATTGCAGGGGGGAATATTAAAAAAAAAGTCAAATCAACCAAAACCTCAGTGGACCCCGTAGGAGTCGCGGACCCCCTGTTGAAGACCTCCGCCGTAAGCAATCACTCCAGGTGTGGGGAGATCTGAACACCTGTGCCACCAAAAATATTAACAAAATATAAAACATTACTGTACTTTGGCTGATTTTTGAACAGAACTGGTGATAGAAGGCAACCCTACAGAGTCTAACTTGAACCGGGAAAGAAGTCTGACTTAGCACCAGTGATCCAAACAAGAGAAAGAGAAACAGGATGACTGCATACTGCTGGAGCGCCACTGTCCCCAATACTGTTTTAAAATAGGAAAAGTGTCCTTTTGGCTGGTTCCGGTCAGTGGCCACCAAGATGCCTCCTCTATTTTCCCCCACCAGCTGCTTTATGGTCGTTTTGCCAAATCAGTCCTCTTTAAACAAGCAGCCAATCACAGTAAAATGTTAATGGGTGAGTCCACATTAACATCTAACAGATGAAGCAGTAAAAGGACCAGAATAAAGAGTAAATACAACAATCAGCAAATCAAAAATACTGATGAGGATAAAAAAAAGGTTCAAAGTGATACTGTAGGAAAATTATGCAACTTATCTAGGTTTCATCATCATTATCACACATTTCTTCATACAGTCTAAACTCTATGATTAGTTTATTTCTCTCTATTAATAGGAAAACATTTGATTCTTGCATTAACCAATCACAACCCCAGAAACAAGGTCAACCACACCTCCTCACTAAGGTCAGGGCTTCTGTCTTCTCCATAGTGTCATTCTCAGCAGCCGAATCACTGAAGAGTAAACTCCTAACAGGAAGGCTTTGGGAATACGAACCCGGATGCTTCTGCAGAAATGTCGATCTCAGTTGGCTGTTTTTCAGGCTGATCTGCTGGTTACACATGGTCAGGTGAAGGCGTGTCTTGTTTTCAGAGTTTCAGCTTGTCTGCTTGCGGTGTTCTTCATGGGGCTGATTTTACCTGCAGTTCTTGTTCTAAGTCTCGGCTACTGAGCTCTTATTTAGTTGACAGTCTTTCACTTGTTCTTGTTCTTCTCAACAGGCTTGATTTCTTCAGCTTGATAATTATTGTCCATTTTAGTAAAGGGGATCTTCAGGTTTCAAAACGGAAACAAATTATTTCAGGTTAAGGCGTTAAATTTTGTGATTATTTAGCCAAAACAATTAAATTTCTAAAGGTCCAATATCCCAGACAATAGGCAATGGCCTTACTTTTACCAACATTCCTTTAGATGTAATGAGGACTATGATCCATTCCCTAATTGCCTGCTGTTCAGGTCCAAGTAACTCCATGTTGTTTGTGATCAGTGGTGTCCAAGCTACTTTTCCTGTTGAGCAGTTATCATCAGCCATTCACCATCCATTGACTGAGAAACACAACATTAATGTCAAACCACCTGTTCAGGTCTGACTTCCAGTCCACCTCAACGGTTTTATGGCATTTTTAGAAGGACCTCACCTGTCCTAACTCCAGCCTGCAATTCCTGACGGAAGTCAACAGATAAAGCAATCTTATGTGTTGATATTTGTTACTGGTTACTGGTTGTTTTTTTGACTAAAGAAGTTTCCAATTGTTCCTGCTGAGCAGTTTCTTTGCTGATGTCATAATTTTTCTGTCTCTATAATCAGACCTGCCAGTCTCTCCTGGTGGTTAAACTGGAGTTACCTTCTCAATGACCATCTTATCACACATCAGATTCTCATTCTAACAGCTTCCTGTTCCAGTTTGTTTTCTATGTTTTTTTTTTTATTACTTGAGTCAGACTCATCAGTCCTGGTGCTCTTGTTGCTGTGGCTTCAGCCATAACCTCAGAATTAATGCTGAGTTTGTGCGCAAGGAATTCACATCTTCTCACATCTGTACACAAATCAAGCCAAAGTATGTTAAACTCTTTGTTGGACACGGAGCAGTGTCTACAAGTGCGTGAACACAGACAATTTTCTGTAGTAGTGGTATTGAAGGGCTTAATTGTACTCGCAGAGTAACTAGCATGGCTGTGAGTTCAGCAGAGAGACATTCTGTCTTTGTGTCAGTTTGTTTTCTCAATTAATGTCCTAAAGCAGGGGTGTCAAACTGGTTCCAAAAAGGGCCGTGTGGCTGCAGGTTTTCTTTCCAACCAAGCAATAGAACACCAGACTCCATTCAACTCATCAAGTCATCATGTTCAGACTGGACTCACTTGATGAGATGAATGGAGTCTGGTGTGCTATTGCTTGGTTGGAAAGAAAACCTGCAGCCACACTTCCCTTTCTGGAACCAGTTTGACACCTGTGACCTATAGTGTCCAGGATGTGTGGGATCTGCAGAGAAGTTATCTGCCCATTTCTGACCATAGACTTGTACAGGCCTTAGATGGATGGACAGACGGATGGACGGTTGGTCGGTCGGTTGGTCCAGTAATCCTTTCCGTAGACCTAACTGTTTGTTGCAGTTTGGACCTGTCCAATTTCATAGATAAGCAAAACCACACACAGATGTTGGAGCTTAAAACACACTGAATGATGTTGGTGTAAAATAGGACCTCCAGCTTCTCTGGACGGTTGAACAATTGTTGGGTTGCTACAGGATGTCCAGTCTCCTTTGGGTCTTCTTCTGAACAGTGTCTAGGCATGAGGACCACATTAGGTCACTAGAAAGTTTCTAGGAACTGGAGGTGTTCCACAGCTATTACATGACTTGATCTTAATTGTTAACCTGTAAAACATAAAGTTCTACTCCTGGTGCAGGTAGAGACATCCACTGACAGGTAGGAACCAGGTAATCAGTGACTCGGCAGTGATGTAATGTTGTGTCTTGTTTAATTGGACTGATTCCTGTAAGTTGCCCTCAGGTGTCAGTGGGCAGGTATGGTCTCCTGTTAGGCCACTCTGATGGTTTGACATCCTGAGAACAGATTTATCCGAAGACCTCTCTGAGATCTCAGACCAGTCGATCTCATCAGAATGTAATCCCATCAATGCTTACTGGTATAAAGCAGTGCAATCCTCAGTCAGGGCTTTTAAGGTCAGGTAGAGCATCAAAAGGTGGTGCTGATTTCAGTTAAAAAGCCAAAGTCCAGGTCTGGACTCTGATTTTCAAACTGAACTCAGATGTTTTCCCTCTGATTTGACTGATTTCTTCTGTCCTCTCACCAACTGTCAGATGGCGAAGGCAGACCAGCGTTATGGCCAGAGGGATGGCTCTGACCAGAACTTCGACTACATGTTCAAGCTACTGATCATTGGGAACAGCAGCGTTGGGAAGACATCCTTCTTGTTCCGCTATGCAGACGACTCCTTTAGCAACTCCTTCGTCAGCACCGTCGGCATCGACTTCAAGGTGAAGACGGTTTACCGCAACGACAAAAGGATCAAGCTGCAGATTTGGGTAAGGAGAGGGGAAGGGGCTTCAGGGTAGATAAAAGATGACTTTACTGAGCTGAAGCTAAATTTAAATAACAGAGTTAAGTTTGGGTCAGAGGTTACGTATTTTAAGCTTAAACTCCAGATTGATGAAGAGCCTAAAACGGTTAGTCAGAATACCTTAGAGCTTCAGTTGTCTTTAGAGCTGTAGATATAAAGATCACCCTAACCTCCCCATGCGACCACCATCAGCCTCCATCAGCTATTAGCCTCTTCTAGTCTGCTGTCATAGATTTAAGGGGAGTGGCGGCCGAGTGGTGTAGGGCATGGCGCTTGGGTTCCAGAGGTTCTGAGTTCAAGCACCACGCCCACGGACTGCCACTCTGGGTCCCTGAGCAAAGACCCTTAACCCCACACTGCTACCCGAGCGCTGCACAATGGCAGCCCATTGCTCCCCAAAGGCGATGAGTTAAATGCAGGGATTTAATTTCGTTCCTCTGTAATTGTGAAAGTGTAATGAAAATAAAGGCTAAAAAAAAAAAGATTAAACCTGTCACTGGTCTGGAGGAGGACAAGACCATGTAGATCTAGAGGAAATAACCAAGTGAAAGAGACTGTTTCAGTTCAGCTCATCTCTGAGGGAAAACATAAAATACTGTATATCAGTTTGAGACATCAGGAAGGCTTACAGTTACAATAAACTGTAATGGCGGACAGGGCAGGTTTGGAAATACACATCCTTCACCATGAACCTTTACAAAGAACCTTAGGAACTGACTCTGGGAACATTTTGGATAAACCTTCAGTAGGAACCTTACTATAGGAAGCTTCATTACAAACGTTCAGCAAGAAGCTTCAGTGTGAACTTTTTTTGGGAGCATTCTACTTGAACCTTCGGGAGGAACCTTTAGCATGAATCTTTAGTAGGAACTTTCTCTTGGAGGCTTCACTAGGAACCTAAACCTTTTATAGAATCCTTTTGCATGATCCCTCTGCAGGTACCTTAAGTGGAACCTTTCTCTGGGAACACTTTACTGGGAACTTTCTCTTTGGGGCCTTAGTAGGAACCTTCAGAATGAACAGTCTCTAGAATCCTCTTGCATTAACCGTCTGCAGGGTACTCCAGCAGGAATGCTAAATAACAGCAGACGGAGACATGATGTTCTGCTCTGACCGACGCTCTCGCTGCTGTGCTGCCACCCGCTCTTTCAGTGGGGATATTGTTGCCATGGTAACAGCTCTTCACGCTAACTCCCTCCCTGCTGCCTCACACAGTCACACGCCCCCACACACACAGATAAATACAAAACAGACACACAAACGGCATCCTCTTTGGGGGCAATTAAAGGGACATCTCAGGGTGAACGCCGGGATGGAGGAGCAGCAGGAACGTTGGAATGGGTGTGTGTTTGTGTGTGGATGGGGGTTAATTTGCAGCAACTGATTTAAACAGCTCTTTGGGGAGTAAAAATACACTAAAGCCTCAGATGTGTAGAACAGCTGCAGAAGAGCATCATGGGAGCTGTGGTTATTAGCATCAGGTAGCTGTACAGTGACCTGAGATGACATGAAGATATTTAACTGCTTGATTTTCAGTTCAACATAAAGCTTTGTTGGTTCATCTAACCTATAGGACACCTACATTTCATCTCCCTCGCTTTGACATTTTTTAGTTCTCAGCATCAAATAGAGAAGTCAAGTGGAAATATTTTAGCTGGTGTCGCTCTCTTGAACTCCATTACCCAAAATGCATTGCTGAGGCCTACAAGTGACCTTTTATCTATTTGTCTGCTATAAATCAGGGTTTGTTTTAAGCTGAATGCGTTACAGCATTATAAGTAGCTTTCTTTTCTGGATCTTCAGACATTTCCTTGTTTCATACGATGTAAAACATGAACAAATAAAAACTGTAGTTAATTATGGAACATATGAGAGGAACTTGCAGCTGGAGCCCAGCCACTGTCACATCAGGTCTGCATCCTTTCAGGTTGAGTGAGCTGCATCCCTCAGTGGAAAGCAACTCAAACTGAGTCACAGCAGAGACGCTAATGGCTAAATTTAGCAGAACGTCTGATTTCAGAGTAGCTGCAGGGGAGAGCAGGATGAAGATAAAACTCACGCCGAGCCCAGCAGACCATTGGACTTATCTCCACCTTCATCCCATTTCTTCTTAGTTTTCCCGTTAACAATCAGCCCAAAGCAGATTATGATCCCCAGTGATGCTCCAGACATAAAACATCTCTGGAGCTCTACAGCAGAGTCCACACTGTTCACAGAAACACCCAAACACACACACACACACACACACACACACACACACACACACACACACACACACACACACACACACACACACACACACACACACACACACACACACACACACACACACAGCAGCTGAAGTTATGCTCTAATGGTATGCTCTGACATTGGGGTTGTAACATAGGAAGAGCAGCCTCCATGGTTGCTAATCATCAGGATGGCCTCGGTTTCCTCACATCATCTTAAAGCAGCTAAAACATCCCCAAACCTGAGGTTGCCTGTCCTGTTCATATAAGATTCTGGGTTTGCAGAGTGAGGTTTCATCCTCACTTTCTCTAGAGTGAGTGTCATTTATTCAAGGTTTCTGTACATCATTTGCAACCGATAGCAGAATGGAGCAGGAGATGCTAAAGGATGGAGCAGGAGATGGTAGGTTTGAACAGGATGGTTTGACAATCGCTGGATCCCTCTGCCACTGTCAGAGGTGATAGCAAAGGAAAAGTTCTTGAAATTGAAAGACCTTTCCACGTACATTCCAAACCTCCTTGCTTCTACCATGGACCCTGTTGTCACTGCTAGAGCTAAGGACCCGGACCTGTGTCCCTCTATAGGAAGGAGTTCCAAAAAAGTGAGTAAACAGACTACTGGACTTTTTTTCCCAAGTTTGAAGACGTTTCACTTCCCATCCAGAAAGCTTTCTCAATTCAAAATGTCTGGAGTAGCGTTGAGTTCTAGGCTTATAGAGTGGCTCAAACAAAAGCCTTGTTATGGCTTAGGAAACATGCAAAGTGAACCGTAAAAAACAGGTCCACCCCTTAGTAATGGGAAGTTGTTGAGGTCGTTGTTGGCCTGTAAAACACGATACTAGCCCATGCATCTGTAAAGGGAAGTCGTTAGGGTTGTTGTTGGCTTGGCTAAACAGGATCCCTTGCATTGCGATGAGGATTAAGATGATAGTGGGAAGGAATCAACTCTGTAGCTGAGTGGAAAGGTTTTTGAGAGCTGAAACCTGAGTCCTCCCCCTCTGTTTAAGGTTGTTTTTTCTTTCTTAACATAAATGGCTTTCTTCACACCCCTTTCAAAACACCTGGCTTCTTTGTCCAAAATGTGAACATTCTGGTCCTAAATGAGTGTTCTTTGTCCTTAAGGTGTAGATGGACAGCAGAGTCTTGTACAGAGGAGGTAGCCTGTCTGTGTTGGGCCATGCGTCTGTGGATATGTTGTTCTGTTTTCTCCAATATAAAGATCAGAGCATTCCTCACCGCATTGAACTTCATACACCACTCTGCTCATCTTAGGTCTGGGGGGTTTGTCTTTAGGATGCACTAGTCTATGTCTAAGGATCTTGTTTAGTTTTAAAATGTACTGGGATTTTTGTGTTTGGAGAAAATCCTCCTGAGTGTGTCAGAGACTCCAGCAACATATGGGATGCCCATGTTATGATCTGCTGCATGTTTTTTGGATTTCCTTGCTGATTTGACAAACGCCTGTCATGATGTTACAAAGTTCAGACCCAAATGCAGAAAACCGAACAGAGAGACCAGGCAAAAGGTGTATTCTCCCTTTCTCAGTGAGAAGCTCAAACAATCTCTTGGGGAAAGTGGATCCAAACCTCCTGTTTGAACCCCAGCTCAGTTTGAAGCTCAGTTGATCCTTCCAGGGAGTGAAGGTCCGAGAAATACAGTTTGCAGGATGACTTCTTGCCAAGAGGCAAAGACAAAAAAAAAGTTAAACTCAGGTTGACAAAAAGCTCAGCTTGACTCAGCAAAAACCCTAAACTGGCAAACACTCTGGCGTCGAAGTAGCGGCAGTCAGCAGCTTAAGAACACTCCGTTTAACAAGGAAACCATCAGCAGGTGTGTGAGGAGGAGGACCAGAACCAGGCGCCTCCTGGTGGAAGAAGGGAGGCAAACACAGAAACACAAACACAAAAACAGGAGTCATGAAAACGCCCAGTTTGAGTATCCTCAGGTTTGGAGAGCAGATAAACATGTTCTGCTCAATGTTGTAAGGTTTTGATGACAGAAAGTTTGTGTTCCAGTGGGTAGTGTGGGTCAAAAAGTAGATATTGGTCTGTGTGTTTAGGTTTTCATCTTCTTTCATGCTCACCAAACAGTCCAGAAAAAGTAGCTTGTTGTCATTGGCATCCTCTCTGGTGAACTGGATGTGGTGGTCCACTGAGATGATGTGTGTTGTGAAAGCTTGCACTTCTTTTACCAGGATTATGACTAATGTGTCAGCTACATATCTAAACCAGTGGCTTGCTGGTCTTCCTATGAAGGTGCCCAAAACTCTCTTTTCCATGTCTTCCATGTAATGATTGGCTACAACTGGAGACACTGGAGATCACATGGTACAACCAAGCTTCTGTCTGTAAAAATGATCCTTGGTCTTGAAATAGGTTGTGGAAAGACAAAGGTCCAGTAGGCAGCAGATCTGGTCCAGAGTTAAATAAGTCCTGTTGTTTAGGTCACTTTCTTGTTGAAGACGTTTCCTGAATGTTTCCACTGCCTCTGATAGAGGTATGCATGTTATGAAGTGACATCAAAAGACACCAGGGTTTCTCCTGCAGCCATCTTTAGATGTTTGACTTTGTTTGCAAAGTCCAAGGATTTTTCTATGTGATGTGGTCGCTAAAATATTATTAAGCTGTTAGCAATGTTGTATTTTACTGAGTTAATGCAAGGAAGGAGAACCCTGGGTAGACATGGAAGTTCTGACCATTGATAAAGTCAAGCTTATAGCACTGTTCTGAGCTCTGATTCTGTGCCTCCAGGATACTGCAGGGCAGGAGCGTTATCGTACCATCACAACAGCCTACTACCGTGGGGCCATGGGCTTTATCCTCATGTATGACATCACAAACGAAGAGTCATTCAATGCAGTCCAAGACTGGTATGTGATTGGCCGATGCTGGTATGCATAATGATTCAGGTTGGGAGGCAACTGCTCCAGCTTGCTGTCACTCTGTCTGCAGGGCCACTCAGATCAAAACATATTCGTGGGACAATGCCCAGGTGATCATGGTGGGCAACAAGTGTGACATGGATGAGGAGAGAGTCGTACCGCCTGAGAAAGGAAAACACCTGGCCGACCAGCTGGGTAAGTTGCTGTGATATCAACTTAGAGTAAAAACAATCTAAATGACTGAAGAACATGTTTTTTTGTCTGAATAATAATCTATAGCATCAAAAATTGATTTTAGTTTATTTAAACCATTTGGTTTATTTATACAAATGGGTTGACCCTGTCTGATCATCCAGAGCTATTATCCTGCCGCATTTTCTGGTCCATCCCAGAATTATGACTCCTAACTCCCTCAGCAGCTTCCAGTCATTAATAGCTGCTGGTATTTTGGAGCAAATGATTCATCTAGTTTAGGTGTGCTAAAGAAGGAATGCAGCTAATGGTAGCTCTGGAACACACAATCAAAGTGGTCCAAGGCAGGAATCCGCAACCTCGGTCATTGTGGCCCGCTGTCCTGCAGGTTTTAGAGGTTTCCCTGCTTTAGCACAGCTGGTTATAAAAATTGCAGTAGACCAAAACCCTGTTAATCAGCTTTCAATTAAAATCAGCTGTGCTGGAGCAAGGAAACCTCTTAAACCTGCAGGACAGCGGGCCTCGAGGACCGAGGTTGGGGATGCCTGGTCTAAGGTGAAAGCCTTTAAGTGCACCATGTGGCACTTTGCAGGAACTACATGTAGTACAGCTTCATTCTCCGTCATCTGTGGGGTTTTCTCTGTCACAAAATGAAGCTTTTTCTAGTTGATGAGGTGATTCTTGTCCAGTGGCTCCTTGGCACAACTAGGGGAGAGCCCTCCTCTATTGTCCATCACAAATACAGATACAGGCTTTTTTCAATGGATGATGGAATAAAACACATATTTCTAAACACCAGATGAGTCACAAAGGAAGTCAGACACTGGACAAGCAAAGCAGATCTGTTGAGTTTCAAAATAAAAGCTGTGCTCTGTGGATGTCTGAATGGATCCAGTTTGGATTCCGGCATGGCACTTTTTATGATGGATGATGGATCAGACTCAAAACATAGTCATTTTGAACAAGCGACAAGACTCTATCAGAATCCTTCCAATAAACATTTGTAGAAAAAAAAGGATTTTATTACAAAAACACTACAGATCAACGGTGGTTTTGTTAACTTGTTTTGCTCTTTGTGGAGCAGCATTCCTGGTGTGAACTGTTGTTATCCCCTGCAGGATTTGAGTACTACGAGGCAAGCGCCAAGGAGAATATCAATGTACGGCAGGTGTTTGAGCGCCTGGTAGACATCATCTGTGTAAAGATGTCTGAGCGTGTGGACGTGGAGGTGCCTGCAGCTCCTGGCTCAAAGACCACCAGACTGACCGACAAGCCTGCCCAGTTACCTCAGAAATGCTGCTGATCATCAGTCGAACCACTCCTTCCCTCCTCCTTTTCCCACCTCAGTCTGTAGGTAAAACGAAGAAAATCAGATATTTCAACTGTTAAGACATCCCTTCACCCCCGCTCTGCTTCAGTCCATATTTGTGAGCCATCAGTGAATCCTCCTGCAGAAATCCATGAAACACCTCCATCCATGTGATGTCCGTGTATCTGAGGCCGGCTGACTGCTGGCGTCTCCTCCACAAATTTAACTTGTCATGTTTCAGCAGGCTCTCCACAGAGTATGAGAAGGGACAGAACTACATCTGGTTTTTGGTTTCCAATTGTTTCCCTTACTCTGTTTAGGGGACATTTGTGCGACTTAAACCTAAAGCGCCACCTGCTGACCATACAGTTGACCAACACTTGGCGGGGTTTCTATGCTGTTGTCGTGAAAAAGTCCAAGGTTTGTGTCAGTGCCTCCAGGATGATCCTGCTGAACTGGTGCCAGTAAGACGTCCCAACCTCTAACACCCTGCTGTTATTTAAGCCATGGTTGCATGATGATGTGAGACTGACATTAGAAATGGTCTAACGCTTAATAACTCAACAACTCTTACTTAACTCTGTACTTTCAATGCACAGTAAAAGCAACATCACAAAGCAGGTAGAACCTTGACAGGTGTTAAACAGATATAAAAGGAAACATAGTCGTGGTTAGAGTCCCAGGAAGTCAAGGAGGTGGCTACTGCTCCTTCTGATGGCTGGACTTATGGTCTGAACTCTGGAAAGCTCATCAGATGGGAAGCAGACTAGTAAAAAACAGCATCTTGTGTTTTACATTTCAATGTCTTCTTTCAGATCATCACCATTCCCATTAGGTCGACATGAAATGATTGGTGGATTTAAATGCACCACGTTAGAATGTCGCTTTTATTAAGGTAGGATCAAAGAAAAGCACAGCTCCGCCCCTCACTGTTAAACATCAACTTAGCTTTAAGAACAGTCACTGCCAAACTATGACTCAGCTTTAACACAATTCTCCTGCAGAACGACTCGCTGTTTTCATCGATTTCTAGCTAAGCTATCAATCACAGTTAACAATGTTGAATTAGTCGATTTATTTCGGTTTACTTATAATTCATAAATTATGATTAAACTGGAATGTTGTTAATCTGAGACTCAAGGTTAACACTGGGACTCAACATGCAAGACTAGCAAAAGTTAAGGAGCTTATTCTCATATACTCAAGGTTTGAGGTTTTAATCTGTATATTGGACTGTAATTAGATGTTAGCTTTGTTAAACAATGAGACAGTGTTAATACAGCTAAACTATGAGTCAGAAATAACACTATTAAACTATGACTCATTTTTAGTACCGTTAAACTTTGAGTGAATATGAACACACTGAAACAATGACTCACTGCTAACTCTGTTAAAATATGACCCAATTTTAACAGTGTTAAACTACGAGTCAGAGTTAACACTGCAAAACTAAGAAATAGTTTAACAATGTTAAGGTGTTAAACTCTGTTAACTCTGATAAAGTCTGACTCAACGTTAGCACTGTCTATGTAAAGGGCTGGTTGTACTCCCAGTGGCAGTGTTTAGCAGTGAGCTTGACGCAGACATTTTTGATTTATGCTCAATATTGAAGAGTGGTTTGCGCTATATTATATTCCACACCACTAGATACAGATGGCGGTGAGGAAGTGGGGCAAGTTTGTCCAACAACGGAAGGACATGACGGTGAAAAAGAGCGGGAATCCAGGTGGAAAAAGGGTCCCAAAGTTCTCGTGCACCTCGCTCTTCTAGCTGGTCCAACTTCACGAGTCGTTTCCACAACTGCGTTCATACAAACAAACCAAGCCAGCAAGCAGATGTAGATTTGACCAATCAGAGGCCTCCTGTCTGCAGCACTGTCTCCGGTCCACTACAACTTGGGAGAGATGCAGCAGAGTGTCTGCAGAGGGGGCGCGGATGTCTTTGCTTTCGCTGCGACATCTACACAGACAGCCTAGTTTCGAAGTATAAATCAGCCTTAAGAGCCAACATTAATGCTGTAAACTATGCCTCAATTTTAATATTGTTAAACTGAGTCAAATTTGACACTGTTAAACTAATAATAATAATTGAACTTTATTGATCTAACATTGGAGAAATTTATCTCTGCAATTTGACTAAGCAGTAAGCTGCATTCGTGGGGTGCAATGAGGTGTTGGGGGTCTTGCCCAGAGAGCCAGAGTGGCAGTCTGTAAGAGTTGGTTTTGAACTCACAACCTCAGGATTTCAAGACCTATGCCCTAACCACTAGGCCGCCCCCCCTCCAACATTAATCCAGACCAAACAAATGTATCATCAACAGTCCTTTAGTGTTCGTCCTGATGTGAACCTTATTAATCAAGTCAACATTGTCATCTGCTTATTATTGACCCATCATTAAAAAACTTCTGTTGAGCACTAATGTGTTAACCTGAGTCACTGAATGGTTTAACACTGTTAAACTGCTTTACCTTTACCAGACATTAACAAGAATAAACTGCTGATCAATAAGGACCGGTTTCAATAAAGACCTGTGAAATACTGACTGTTAAAGTTAGTCACCTGGCCAAAAATAGCTTGAAACAAACATGAGTCACTTGCAGAACAGTGACTAAGCAGTAAAGTAATTTCTCCAATTAAAGTTTCACTTTAGGCATCGGTCGCTGGATGAATAAATGACTCGTCATTAACCGAGTCATCTGCTGAAAATGGACTAATCAATACCAGAGTCACCTGCTGAACAATGACTTATTGATTAACTCAAGATAGATATTAAATGTTGACTTGTTAAAGGAGAAAGATACAAGTTTAACTTCTCCTGGCCAGTACGTGGTGCAATTGTGCTGACCCGCTCTTGTTCCAACCTTCAAATGTACTGTTTCAAGATTGCTGCCAGTTTTTTTTTTTAAGAATTAGCAAACGTTTACCTTATGGCGCTGTCACATCTCGACGATTAAGCCAGTGTATGCCGAAGTCCCAGAATCTCCTAAAATGCTGGTGTACACTGAACTTTTTATTTTTTTCATTGTGGGTGTATACATAGAGTATTCAAAATGAGTCCAGAACTTATGTCCAACGATAGCCTAACTTACGCATAACGCACGGCAACGTAATGCCCATGAAATGTCACAAACCAGTGTCCTGAGGGGGACAGCAATGCACCCAGGCCTGGCCTGCATAAAAAGCACAACAAGAAGATTTCTCTAAACTTCGCAGTCGCGATATTACCCTAGCAGCTTTTTACTGCCCGCTAAAAAAATAAAAAGTAAAATGATATAAAAAGAAGGGAGGATCCCTCACACTCACCTTCTCTCTCACCCTATGATGGGGATGATACAGGTTGGATAAGCTAGACACCACGACTTCTGAGTAATTTAAAATTAACGTATATCAACGATCACATAACCTCCCTTTAACTTATGGCCCACATATGAGCATACGCCGGCATACGTCGTATTTTCCGTATGTCGACGTGTGCCAGCGTGCTTCAGTATGCTCATAACTTATACAAAATAGACCCATAACTTATCAACATATGCCAGCGTTGTTGCCAACTTGTTCGTACGTCAGCCAATGCTGGCTAAAGGGCAGATTAGACTTCTGCAACCGCACACATCAAATGTCGCTTGGGTCTGGTCGCGAACCAGTTTTGCTGGTATGCCTCTGCACCGTCAGTCTGGAATTTCTAGGGAAACACAGCAGTTTCCCGCCAGAGCGCTAGGGGGAGCCTATTCGAGGACCAGTCACAGCTGCTTTTTCTCTGCGCACTTCCGCTTGAGGTCTGCGCGGGTTTGCAACTGTCCAATGCTTAGTCGGGATTTTTTTTAGGTGCGTGACAACAGTTGTAGAACATCTGCACGGAGGGCGTGGTCGCGCACAGAGACAGATTTTACGGTTGCAGAGGCTATGCATCAGAAGCATAAATTGGCCTTAAATTGTCAAGGTGTAACTGTGCCATTACCAGTAGGGAAACCAGGTACCTCCAGGTGGCGTTTTAGCTATTTTTGCTACCTGAACTTGTGACCAACGCACGAAAGATTAACAAATTTTCACTATTTTATTAATTTTATTGTGCCTAAATCTGAGAAATGCAACACAGAGAAGAAGCCAATTTTTATTACAATCTCAAAGCTCCTAGGATCTGGCAATGCCTTTGCTGCATCTTACTTGACTTCAATCTGCTATTCCTATATGGAGAATCATTTTCTTTCAACTTTGGCATCATAACCAGGAATCAATATTAATATATTTTGGACCCGTCAAAATGTATAAAACAAATATGTATATACTAAATATTTTATTTTTTTGTAAAATTAATTATTTCATTCCACACCACTCTAGACATTCAGTGGATGTATTATTTTTGTAAAATTAATTGTTTTGATGAAAAAGTTGTAGCCATGACCTTTAACACAAATTTCCTGCCAAACCTAAACTCGGCAATAAGAGGTTCACCTTCCTCACCATCAGTTTTCTGATGACCATCCGGACTCTTTATGTGAAAAGACTTTAAATCACATTAAAATTCTGACCAACTAAGAGTTATTCAGTGTAGATTATTACCGTTTTTATCAAATAAGTCTAGGAAAGATCCAGTCATACACATTTGGTTCAGTTTAGTTCACAGCAGTTTAATCTGGATCAGGCCAGTTCTTTCCAAATCAACCCAGGACCGTACTGCCAGTTCACTTCCGTCTGAATCAATCCAGTTAAATCCAGTTCAGAGTAGACGGGGACCAGGGTCACATCAGCCCAGTTTGGACCAGTCTAACCATGAAGGGCCCTCGCAGCCTGCAGCCGTGCCTCATGATGGCCATCACCCTGAAGCTGTTTTCTAGTCATCTACAGTCTCACCTACCAGTAGTGTGCAGAGAGGAGGCCCCGCCCCTTTAGCAGGTGTTGTCATGTAGCCACCATGTTTGCAGTGTGTTTTACATGATCAGGTGTGCGTGTGTGTGTGATATTGTTAAATATTATTATAATGATAATTATAACCCATGCAGCTGTAAGGGTTCTTGTGTTTGGACCCAGGAGTGACCCCACTGTGTGTCATCTTATGAGAATATAAAATAAAATTGTCTTCATATGACTTTATTTTTGAAGTGAATTTGTAAATGATAGATTTAGATCTAAATATACTGTTGTTGAGCATGAGCTTATTTTTAGGTCCTGTGTACCATGGACCAATTCTGTAAACTTGTTGTCTAACGGTTTACTCCGTAGGGAGAAGCACAAAGTGATTGTATAAAATATTGTGAATGTTTGTATATTATAGATGAATCTTAGTATAATAAAAATCCCAATCTTTCATCAGAACATGAAGTCTCTCTCACATTCTTTTATGAAGGAGACTAGATTTGGTTTCATAGTCCTCTGCTCTGTGTCTCTCTCCAGACAGGTATCAGTTTGGGATCCAGAGCTGTCATTCATCCTCAGAAGTCATTTTGTTCTATTTCAATTTAAAAAAATTTACATTATTTCCTAACTGACAGAAAATAATGTAACTTTTTTTTTATTGAAATAGAACAGGTGAGATCCAGGTGTGAAAATAACAAAAGTCCAAATTACCAAAGTAAGTCATGTGAGTTTCATTGAGGAAGTCAAGAATTTAGATTTAGGCCCTGATTTTACTGTGTACAATCAGAGCAGGATATGATTCCAACCCATGAAATGTTTCTAACTAGGTTCTGATCAATATGAAAAAACTAAAAAAGAGCCAGAAGATACATCAGTTACTTTTAACTCATTATGTAGCACTATGAAACCTGATTTTACAGTTTGGATTACCCAGGAAGGAGGAGGAGCCACTGACTGGACCACAACCAAACCAAAAATGATATATTCATATCCATAGGCATTATATTTGTAGAAATCTCACAGGAGTGAGGCCGACGTACCTAGAGGTAGGCCATCTTGGATCGGATCACAGTTTAGACAGCTGGCGTCAGATTGAATAGAATGTGCCTAAGATCTCATTTTAATCACATGAAAGATGAGTCAGATAATATTACAATAATCTCTTTCATGTCACGACCCCTTAAAAGACCAGAAAAGCATTCTAAAATTAACTTTCAGTTAGATTACACATTGTTGTTCAGATAAAAAAATATTTAAACTGAACTCAAACTGGATGAGGTATATGCAATTCTATATTTTGCAAATAAATATGATGATAAACACAAAGTTTAATATTAATATATTATAAGATTATGTTTTAGAAATATTATATATTTATATAGTATATTATTATTCAGTATTTTAAGGATTGATCTTTGACATTGAGTATTATGATCTATAGACAAAACATTTGTTGTATTGTGATTTAAAAAACAGAGTAAAGTTATATTCCTTTTCTTAAAATGAATTTTATGTTAATTTAAATTTTTTTGTCATTGTCAAGACTTTTTTGTCAAACCATAGTGAATGGTAAATTAATGTTGTGTCTAACTAAAGGCTTTTTATCCTTATATTTTTGTCTAAACTTCTTCCAAAACACTTTTTCAAACCATAACAATTTATTTATGCATATTTAAGCATTTGTTCTTATATATATATATATATATATATATATATATATATATATATATATACACACACACACACACACACACACACACACACACATTCTTATTCAAAGAGTTTTCTTTATTTTCATGACCATGAAAATTGTAGATTCACAGTGAAGGCATCAAAACTATGAATTAACACATTCGGACTGATGTACTTAACAAAAAAGTGTGAAACAACTGAATCACTGAAAGAATCACTGAAAAACTCTTGGCATTCTCTTGATGAGCTTCAAGGTATGAATGAGAAGGTGTGTGCAAACTTTTGGTCTGTACTATGCAAGAGGTACAAGCATATATATATATATATATATATATATATATATATATATATATATATATATATATATATATATATATATATATATATATATATATATATATATATATATACGCACACACCCGAAGGAAGCTATCCTGTGGGATCCAATCAGATGTATGTTCAAAGGGATTGTAATGTATAATGTAAAGTAAACAATTATGTCTTGATACCCGCTCAAACCAACTGTTTATTCACAGCTGATTGGATGGCTTCTTTAATCCGATTCTCTGTCGTCACTCAATCGACCAATCAAGCAGACGGTTGAGCTGCAGTCGATATTCTCTCATCCAATCAGAGTGCCTGTTTAGCGCAGCCGCAGACCGGCTACAACTATCAGCTACTTTAAACACCTGTCCGCTACTCTCAGGTGAGTTCTTCACTCTGTTGATGTAAGGGAACAAACCAGAATTTGAGAACTGACATTGAACTGTCTAGTTCGGCTTGAGGACGAAGCCAAACCAGAACCAAGCTGTTGCGATTAAGGCAGTTAGTTAGCTGAATGACATGCTAAGGTGGGTTAGTTAGCAGCAGCCAGTCAGCAAAAAGCTGATTAAAGAGTGAAACTGTGGGTCAGTTCTTGATGAAGTTCGACCATTTTTTTTGATGCAATGTTTTGTTTTCTGCTTATTTGAGGTTCGGTTCCGGCTGTTGGAGCCCTGTGGTTCTTTGATTCTGTGTTAGCAGCGCACAGGTTAAATCGGTTGATTTTAACATTAAGTTTTGCTCTCTGTGTCTCGCGCTCCTTTCTTCTTATCGTCACATTCTTCCATGCGCCGTACTTCTGCATGAAAATAATTTAATTTGTGTTTCTGTTTATTTTCCTGCACCGAGAGCTATGTTAGAATATCAGAGACTACTTTTTACTTAAAACTAGGTATTCGGGATATTTCGGCTGAAACATTAACCTATTATCAAGGCACACTCTGTGTTAATATATCTTTGATATATTACCCATCTACAGGTAAATATGACCATGTTCTAATTAACTATACTTTTTTTTGGAGAAATAAAAAAAAACAGCAGATCAGGGGAAAACAAAGCGATAAAGAAACTCAGTTTGATATCTGCTGCAGCATTTTACGATTATTCCAGGGAAATTGCATTTTTATTGACAATCATTATAGATCATTAGATTCGATTAAATGAAATAAAAAATACTTAATTGATCCCAAATGAAAATTAAATGTAACCATCCCTCTGGTTAAGGTAGAAGCTGAGAAGCTCACCAGTTTTTAACTTTCAGGTTCCTGAACTAAACAACCAAACCTTAGTTCGTCAGGATACAAAACCTTTCATTTTCTCTCATTTGCAGAAAATAAGGCTTTTGAGAAAGTTTAAGTAGTTTTTCCACAGTTCTTAGAATTAGACAGAATTATTTTGCTATTTTACATACACGAATGTAAACAAAAATAAATTTAATTGAAAATTTAATTCTGTTCCTATTATAAAAACTAACAATATATGCATATTCTTTGCTTTAAAATTCTTTTCCCACATTTTTCTAAGTAAATATTTCTATCACCACCCTGTTGAATGTATCAGCCTGCTGGTGAACAGAGCAAACTTTACAGTTTGAATACTATTCTTAGTCTATTGAGCTCTACTAAATACTTTCTTAATAAATTAGTGATGGTGATTGTTTTTGCAAACAGAATGTTTTGGAGCTTCAGATGCTCATGAAGCCACCTGCTGGCTGACTGCAGAATCACAGCCAACAATATAACCTATAATGCTGGCGTGCATCTATCCATTAGGGCCAGTAGAAATGATCAGTAATAATAACTATTAATATTTTTTAGGATTATCACTTTATAGTTTTGAACATTTTGCCTTTTTACCTTTTCTTAGAATTGTACAGTATTATATGGTAGGCTTTTTTATTTATTTTTTGGCATGGCCTTAAGCATACAGGGACAGTGCTGGTTGAATGTGAAAGCGGGCACTGGTTATGCTTGTGCAGCACAGAAAACAATGTGTAAAATCTGGGATTTTATTAACCCTTATTCTTGCAGTACCTCTTCAGCCTTTGAAAACGTCTGTTCAGATGCAGGCTGAGAGCTTCTTAGCATGGATGAAGTGTTATTGTACCCCATCACAGAACACAAAAACCTCACCTCCAAAAATACTCAGTGAAAAATGCATTTATAGACAAACTAATCTTATGAATCTTAAGTATGTAATTTCATTCATTCTTTCATTTGTTTTGAGTTGGGTCATCCATATCTCCCCATAATATGCAAACTGTCAGATTGACCCAGAAACGATGCTTTGATTCGCCGGGAGGCCGGGGGTCCGTTTCATGAAGCTGGTTTACTGAAAACTCTTTAAACCTGAATTCAGCTTTCTCAACCTCTGTTTCAGTCACCGTAGTAACATGCCCCTCAGAGCTGACCTAGTCAGGAGCAGGTTTTCTTCAGTAAATTCAGTGTCCTCTGCTCTTCTTACAGCCAATCTTGTTTTATATTCTGATTTAGACAGATTTTCGTCGTAGTTTTGTGCCAATAAAAAAAAGTTATTCACTAGGTCCGTTAGACACAACTCAGGTGACGGGATATTACACATAGATTGATTAATTAATTCCACCAGGGAAAATGAATTACTTTAGGGTTAGGATTAGGGTGATAACAACCGACTGAGTCTACTGGCACAATCTGGGATTGATAACCTCTAAAAACGACCATTTATTGGGATGACAAAATTTGAAGCGGCTGGAAACAGTTTGTATTGACTGTGTAAAAGAAGACAGAATCAAACTGAGGAGGAACCCATGAGATGATGAACAGGATAAATCTAATAGAACAACATTTTTAGACTTCATCTTCACCTGCTGCCAGATTACTGACCCTAAATAGATACACTGATCCACTACATTCAAGAAATAAACCAGTAATGTTATCATGGTCACCACAGACTATGGCAAGCCATTTTAATAAATATTAGTTTTAATGAATGGGTAATACTAATATCTGAAAAAACGCATTTCCTTATCTAAATGACCATTTCAAACAAAAGGACATTCTCCAAATCTAGAATAAATATTCTGGATATATAGAAATGTATTCTAGATCTCTATATTCCTATCGTTACATTTTTCATTTGTATTATTTCCACTATATAGAAAGATATTTCAGATATAAATTCATATTCAATCAAGATGATAAAGATGAACAGCCACTTAAAATGTGTAAACATGTCTAGGTATATGAAATGTAATTCTTACTAGTATAATTTTGTTCATTTTATTTTATGAAATTCTCTGCTGCAAACTGTAATTTAGAAAATATATTATAGTTCAGTCTAGGAGTGTGATTTCAGTGATCTACAAATGGAACAAAAGAGATGATGGCTTTTTAAACTTGTCACAGACAGGATTAACTCTGGTTGGACCTACTTAGAGTAGATTGAACTAATTCATAGCAACCATTGTA